TCCTTTTCCTCATGGACCACTATTTGAGAAAAGACTTGGCATATTAGTATTGGTGTCAGTGGGGCCCAGAACAGAGAAGTTTTTGTAATCTTTATCACATGTACTCTATTGAAATGCAAGTTAGTGGTTTCTTGCTTTAATCTAATCCTATGATACTGCATTTTACTTTAAAAATATGGATCTGTTAAGAAAAGTGGAAGAAAATGGAATTTCTCACTGGAAAAAAATGAAAAACTCCATCTTTTCTCCAATTCTTCTTTCTTCACTGAAGTCTTTCTTTGGTGAAGAGACAGCTCTTCTCTTTACAAAGGACAAGCACTCTACATACACCCTTGATCCCATCCCCTCCAGATGATTGTTCCCACTATTATCCTCTCTAATCTTCAGTCTGTATTTACTGGCTCCTTACCCGCTGACTGCAAACATGTGCATATCTCATCTATCCTTAACCCCTACCCCGACTAGATCTTAACATCTCCAATAGTTTTCAACTTATATCCTTCATCTTTTATCTCTTCCTCTTAGCCAAACTCCTAGAAAAAACCATCTCCATTCATCAGTACCTCTACTTCCTTTTTTTTTTTTTTGGTGGGGGGAGGTTAGGTAATGGGGTTAAGTGACTTGCCCAGGGTCACACAGCTAGTGTCAAGTGTCTGAGGCCGGATTTTGAACTCAGCTCCTCCTGACTCCAGGGCTGGTGGTCTATCCACTGCGCCTACCTCCTCTTCTCTTACTCACTTCTAACCTGTTGCAATCTGACTTCCAATTTTATCATTCATTTAAAAGTCCTTTCTGCAGCTACCACTGATCTCTTAATTGTCAAATCCAATGACCTTTTCTCAATCTTCATCTTTCTTGACCTTTTTGTAGCATTGGATGCTGCTGGATCTCCTGGATATTCTCTTCTTTCTAGGTTTTATGACATTGTTCTCTCTTGGTTCTCTTCCTGTCTCATTATTCCTCAGGCAGCTTGGCTGGATCTTCATCCAAGGGTAACAATATCTTCTGCCATCTTCTCTTTATACTATATCACTTAGGGATCTTATCGGCTCCCATGGATTCAATTGCCTTCTATGATGGTTATTCCTAGATCTCTATATAAAGCCCTACTATCTCTCCTTATTAGGTGTTTAAGACTAGGTGTCTCATAGGCATTTCAAATTCATCATGTCCAAAAAAGAATATCTCCCCAAAACAAAACAAACCCCTTACCTTACCACTTATCTATGTCCTGTTGCATGTATGGATTTTTTATTTTTTATTTAAGGGCTGCTATGTGGTACAGTGTATTAAGAGTGCTGGACCTATACTCAGAAAGACCTGAGTTCAAATCTAGCTTCAGACACTTAATTGCTGTGTGACCCTGGGCAAGTCACTTAACCCTGGTTTGCCTCAACTTCCTCAACTGTAAAATGAGCCGCAGAAGGAAATGGCAAACCATTCCAGTATCTTTGCCAAAAAGAGTTGGCCATGATTGAAATGACTCAACAACAAAAGTTGTATTTTTATTTTGTTAAATTATTTATTTTATTAGTTAGTTAAGTATTTCCTAATTACATTTTAATCTGGTTAGGAGTACTAGGGCATGTGATAGGGAGTATTGCAGAATAACGGAGGTATTTGAACACCTCTTATCTAAAGGTCCTTATCATCCTAGATTGAACATGTTTCCTACACATAAAATATGGGATGAACAAAGTTTTCAGTCTAATTAACATGAAGAGTCATGGTAATTAGAACACAGCCCATCAAAGTACACAGCATTTTGTTTTTACAGCCATTTCCTTGCCTCTATTGATGCAGCAAAAGTTATACTCACCTAGCATTTTTTGATAGATTCAGAATCTGGCATAAAGCTAATGAATGTCAAAAATCTCATGTGTTAAGCTCTTTTACAAAGCCAAGTTTTAATTCAGGGATATCTATTGATGCTGTAAACGAGGAAAAATGTTGCCATAACTGAAATATAAGGGAACAACTGACTGATTCACATTCTGTGTTCAATCAAAGGCCAGACCATTCAGAAGTCACAACAAAAAAGCTGCCATTCTGAGAAAGGCTTATTTCTAAAATATTGATATTTTCTAAAAAATGAACTCATATTAGAAAAGCATTGCAAGTTTCCTTGAAACATTGAATAATTATATCCAAATTGATTTAATTTTGGCCTTATACAATATTGCTTAGCAAAAGAATGTCTTCACTTAATGGAAATATGGTCTTTTATCATTGCTGAAGACACAACTGACTATGGACACTATGAACAAATTCCATCGTAATGCATTATTTTGACAAAACACAGTCCAGTTGAACATTCTCTATCTCCTCAGAGACGAAGAATTTATTATTAATAATTTTGACCAGTAATTGACATTCTTAAAATTGGTCATTAGTGACATCTGTTTTGATGGTGCATCTACCAGGTCTGAAGGAACCGTAGGAGTTAAGTCAAATTGATACAGTGTGTAAAATACTCCATTGCAATACACAAGGTTTGAATCTCATCATAATACATGCACACACTTCAAGTAAACATGTATATGTGTGTGTGTGTGTGGGTGTGTATTTGGACAGTTAACATTTTCATGGAGGGGAAAAAAACTATAAAACTCAGAATATTGGCAATTTCACAAAAAAGAAGGATCCCAGTTGAAGATGTTGAGGTCCCTGTCAAAACTAAACAGGAGTGGTTAATGCCAAAAAACCAAATTGTTACATTATTTTGTGAGCTTTATAAGAGATTGCCATAAGACCTTGCTTTGCTGATGATAAAATCCAGGCATCTTATGCAAGAACTAAATTCATTGAAGTTCATCTCTGCTACTAATAAGATGCAAAGCTAATTTTGAGCTGGCAGTAAAAGCAGGTAGGTAGGGCTTTTTAAGCTCTAGACCTCAACTTACTGCAGTAACAGGGGTGAAAAGCTCATATGATTCTTTGGTTGGAATAAGAAGTGGCCTATAATATTTTCAATGATAGTGTGAAAATATGTATAGAGAAGGCTCTATTGATTCTGCCACTTACAAGGAAAACAACCACTTGTATTAGTGATGTATTTGAGTTCCGGCACTGCTTTGATAACAGAGAGAAAAGAGAGACTAACTTTATTGTACCTACTCCTAGGCTCAGTGATTACAAGAACAAAGCAGTGATTTTTAATAGTCTCGTAAAATTGAAAGGACAATGGAAAAACTGCTGAGCTTATACATTGGCAGATATGATGTAAGAATCAATGTTAACAAATTTAAAGTGTCCTTAGATGAGTTGAAAAGTTGGGGGAAATTGTTTCAGGGTTATGATGATTCTGTTCTTAAAGACAAGTACTACAAAAATCAGCGGAGTTGCATAACTGGCTAAAGTAATGAGATAAGGTGCTTTAACAAATCTACTCAATGCTTTACAGTCTTATCATGTTTAACAGTCATATTACGTGATATTACAGTCTTATCAATGCTTAACAGTTGGAAGCTGTTCACGTGAGAGAACCTTTCGGAAACTAGCAACATGTAAAAAACAAAGTAATAAAACTGTCCTAAAAGCACCTCCACTCACTGATTTTGTACATTGAACATGAATCATCTTGTCAGATGTGACTAAATTATTTCACATCTACTGAGAGATTTCATTCTCTAGGGCAGGAAGATGAAGAAACTTTAATCTGTTTTGGTCAGTTTAAGGTAAAAAGATAAAAATATCAATTACTATTGTATATGCTTGGTATAGATGGTAAAAACTTGGTGTGATGTATCTCATTTTTCAGTTTGTATTTTTTGAGTAAAGTTTAGCTTAAAAGTTTTTTTTTAAAGTTAAGTATGTTTTAACTTTAGTTTGACAAATAAGATTGTCTTTTATAAGTTAAGTAGTCATTATTCATATTTTTTTGAAGAAAATACTATTTCTAGTTTCATACTTTAATAAGCCATGTTGGGGTTAGGTTCTTGAAAAAATTATGGGTTAAGGTTCTTAAAGTAAGTTCTGTGGTACCATTGAGTAGAAGGGACTAATTTCTAACGCTCTTCTTTCACACCCTTCAGGCTATGTTGCCTTATTGTAACTTCTTTTTCCCTTCAAGGATGCCCTTGGTTTCATTTTGACCTGATTTTACCAGGACAAAAATGAATGGGAAAGTGTAGGACTATATGATTTATTCAAGCTCACTGCCATCTAGGGACATTTCCATGATACTGTATTTAACATTTTATTAACCAGAGACTGTACATAAAGAAAAGAACTGCCAACCATATCAATGAATAACTTATTAAGAATTCTCAGGGCAGCTAGGGGGCACAGTGGATAGAGCACCGGCCCTGAAGTCAGGAGGACACTATAACAATCACTAGCTGTGTGACTCTGGGCAAGTCATTTAACCCCAATTGCCTCACTAAAAAAAAAAAAAAAAATTCTGAAATATCTACCTTCATGTTTTTGAGCATCATAAATGTTTTTATTCTCAATATATTTTCACAAATCTTACTAAAAAAACTTCCAATTTTCCCAGAATAGCTTTTATACTTCTCTGCTTCTTATAGCTGGACACTCATTTGTAATTCATTTTTGTGTATAACAAATTTAAGACATCATAGTTCTACCTCCAAATTTTTCACTCCTACTTCTCAGAATTTGTTTTCCATAGCACCATGTTATAGGCATTTTAGAGCTGGACCAACACCTTTATTTTGTTGATTAAGAAGCTGAAGCCTAGAGAGTTCAAGTGACTTTTTCAAAGTCACACAATTATGTTGAGGCCTAGCTTGAGTCAGGACCAGAATCCAGGGTACTTTGAGGTGCTGGACTTTCTTCACAACACCACAATGCTACTAGGAAAACTGAAATCATTGCATTGGAACAAAGGACAGCCCTCACAGGTGGAAAATTCCAAGTTCTAAGAAGATATTAAATGCAAGTGATTCAAAGTCATTGTTCCCTTCCCCCAGTAATGCCAAAGTCTTTAGATATAGTGCTGAGTACTTTCTTTTTTATGTAAATAATTATGCAATGAATAGAATTCAATTTAAAATTTATTAAGTTGTGTATATGGCCCTGTGAATAATATAAAGGTGAAAAAAATGACACAGACCCTATCAGTATCCAGTATATTCTTGGCCACTGGAGGAACTAAGACACATTCATACACATAAACTGAACATAAAGTAGTGTGCGATACAGATGTGGAGAGAAGTAGGCAAAAGTCCTGTAGAAAAATTTTAGGAAGGAGAGGACATTCTCAGCAAGGCACATCACAGAGGAGAAGGCACCTCAGCTGAGTCGTGAAAGAAGAGTATTTTACAAGGCAGCAATGAGAAGGTAGTGCATTCTAAGCCTCCTGAGGATGCAATGAGATGAGCTGGGATCAGGTAAAGATTTGGCTGGAATATGGAGTACCTCATGGAAGGTTGGAAGGGTAGGCTGGAGCCGTATTGATGAGAACCATAAAATGCCAGGGCAAGACATTTGAATTTTGTTATAGGGTAATTAATTTTAGTATCTGTGTGAAAGATTAGAATACATAAAACAGAGGATACAGTAGAATAGATATGAGGTGATGAGGAATTGAGCTGAAGTGGTAGCAATATGAGCAGAGAGAAAGGGACACATGCAAGAGATGTGAAAGGAGAATCAAGATGAGGGCCTTATGCCAAATTGGATGGGGGTACCAAGTGAGGGAATAGGTAGTCATGGGACCATACACCTAGAGCTGGAAGGGACCTCAGACATCATCTAGTACAATGCCTTCCTTTTTTTTTTCTTAAACAGATAAGAAAACTGAGGTACAGGAGGCTAACTGATTTGTCCAGGTTCACACAGATACCAAACATCAGAGACAAATTCTTTGACTCTAGAGTCAGTACTTTTTCCACAGTACCAGCTGCTTCCAAAGATGACTGAGGTTTTACTTTGGCCAGCCTGTGCAACTTGGGAGGAAGATAATGCCATCAATGGAGAGGAGGTAGACGGAGAGGCATGTTTTTTGGGAAAGATAATGAAATCAAAAATATATAATTTACACCTGTTTGGGAGGGGAGGGTAAAGACTGTAGTAGGGAAGATAAATGCTTTTAGCTAACAAAAATAATACCTGACATGGTATTTGCTGACATTCATTGAATATGCCATTATTACCTGACCTTCAACAGTTCTCTATTTTTCATAGGTATTCTGGTACATAAATCCTTGAATTATTTCCCCAAAAGCAATCTATGTTGATAATTTAGCACCATTTGCCCTCAAAATCCTAGCAGTCATCTAGTCCAACTTCTGTTACATGGACAAATTTCCCTTAAAGCATGGCTGACAAGGTTTTCTAGTCTCTGCCTCAAACAGTATGGTGATGAACTTAATAGATTAACAGAGCTGTTGGGAAATGAAATCAGGTACAATTAAGAGGCTCCTGGTTGTACTGAGCTGAACTCTCTCTCTCTCTCTCTAAACAAATATTACATTATCACTTTGATAGTTTGCAGGAAAGTGAAAGAGATGTGGATCCTGGCCAAAGGAAGTACACACCACCAACTTTATTTAAGTGCTGTTCACTTTGAAAGTGTTAGGGTCTGTTTTGCTTAAGATTATTGTCATGGTCCGGTGAAAGTGGCCCAGCAGGCTACACAAAACACCAGTGAAATTCAGGAGGTGGCCTGGGGCTCCACATGCAGCTAAGTAGAACAATCAAGTTACCCTTCCTGAATTTTCTCTGGGGCATGCTTTCCAAACCAATGTAACGCTTCCAAGGCAAATTTTGAGAAAGAGAAAAACAGAAATGTTTTTGATCAGCAATAAAGATATCTTAAATTTCAGTCAGCTGTATCATTGATTCCGGGTAAAATCTGGACTTGGGTCAAATCCTACCTCTGATATTGACTACTTATCATTCACAATATTCCAGAGATCCAATTTCTTTATCTCTAAAATGAAGACATACTAGCTATCTCAAAAGGCTGTTTGAGGTTTTTTGGAAATAACGCATGCAAGCTTTGCACATCTTAAAAGTGCTACATCAATGTTATTATTCATTTAATAGCTGATGTGAATTCTGTCTTTCTTTGAAACATTCAATCAGTTCAACTCCTACAAAACATTTAAACATTGCTAACACTGAAAAAATAACATCAGCCTTTCTGGAACAGATTACTTCAGGAATTAATTTTGTTATTTTGATAGGAATATTTTCTTCAATGAATTCAAAGGATTAATTCTCAAACAATGAAGGGCTAAAGCTAGAGTTGATCTAGAAAAGATAGCATACCACTAGTATGTTGAAATCTCAGAAAAGTACTGGTAAACTGGTGATATGTTTCTTGAACCAAACTCCCTGATGATGGAAGTAAATTTTAAGTGATAAAATTATGTATTTAAAAGTTATTTTATTTTTTGTGAAAGGACTCTAACTAAATGTCCATTTTAATACATCCATTAAGAGATTATTAAACTGGAAATGTAAAAATGTGCTAGAATAGATTCTTAAGAAAAATTTTGATTTTCCACTAAGAAAAAAAACCCCACAACACAATGTTCAAATAAATTCAACATGATTATGGTACCTTAAAGGAAAAATACAGCATTTGAATAATTTCCAGTGTCTTGTTTGGCACAAATATTAACATACCTCAAAACTTCACAATAACAAAAACAGCACTGTGTTTACTAAAACCAAGTAGTACAACAGGTAAGTTCCTAAAGCTTATATAATTATTAACATCATAAAAACCTAATTCCAATATAAATTCTGAACTTTTCATGCTGGTCTGGGCAGTTTTTTTTCCAGCACATTCTACAGTTATCATAGAGTTTATGTGTATGCCTATATGCATCAATTTTTCATAGAACTGAGTAGCTCTTTTAGAATAGCTTTCACACTTAAGATGGTGCATGCAATTTTTTTTCACAATTTAGATATAAATGGAAGACCTTCATACATATCTGATTTTAATTTCAGCCAATCAGAAAGTTTCTGTAGAGTTGTTTTTTCTTGGGTTAATATTTTTGCAAGTTTTTTCATTTTTTCTTCATTTCGCTCTAAATATTGAATCCCTTCCAACTGTAAGAAGTCAAGTTTTTCATTTCGACTTTCATCCAGAGGTATGTTTTCATGCATTACAGGGTTGATTCTAAAATAAGTATCAGGAGGTAAAAAGCCATCAAGCATTACATGGACTTCTGTTTAAAAACAAAAAGAAATAACAAGTTAAAAATGAAACCTTCTAAATGATTACCTACTAATTTTACCTTTACTTTTTGATCTATAAAGTTCTGTTTACTTCACCACTCATATTTTAATCACCAATGCAGTAAAAAAAAGTATCCAATTACAATAAATACCATTAGAAAAGACTCTTCATATTTTCCTTTATTAAATGGTAACTATTTTTGAATTATGCATAAAATGAACTTGAGGGTAAAGAGTAGAATGATAAAATGAGCTAGGCTAGAAATTGGAAATTCATGACATTTTACTTCCAGTTTGCTCTATCACATTATTAAACTACCAGACTTCATACCCAGGATGCATTCCTACCTCAGAATTCTCATCTTCAAAGTTCAGCTCAACTGCTGACCCTCACTGCCCCTGTGCAACCCCCCATCCATATCTTGAAACCTTTCCCAATTCTCTCAGGTATCAATCAATCAACAAGTATTTGTTAAATGCCTACTATGTGCCAGGCACTGGGCTAGAGCACTAGAGATACAAATACGAAGAATGAAATAATCCCTTCTCTCAAGGAGCTTATATTGTCTGTTAGGTGAGACAGTATGTATATATGTTAGTGGTTGTGGACCAGGACACTAGTGAAACTGGGGGGTGAGGTGGTGGGGAGAGCCTGAGTTAATACCAACAAAGGCTATTTTGAGCCAAGAGTAAACCTGGAAGTTTGAGTTAACTTTGCCCTAGAGTTGACTGATCTGGGCCACAGACAGCTCAAGGACTCTAGAAGGGAGCTCCTAAGGCTCCAGTTAAACTTCTTTGTGGACTGCTTTTATTTCCTTGCAGGCTTCTTTTACCTGCTTTTACTGTCTTGTGGCATGCTTTTACCTGGGGCTTACTGAATATATTTTTATTAAAGAAAGCAAATCAACCCTCTGGCTCTGAGTGGCCCATCACAACAGATATGGAAATACGCCTAGGATATAAGTATATATAGAATACAAAATAAATAAAAGATATTTAAATAAAAGTAGTTAGGGATGGCATTAGAAGCTAGAGACACCAGGAAAGGTTTTATCAGTGTAGAGGCTGGAGGAATTATATGAGGTAGCAGTGAACGAGGGCATTCCAGGCAAAGGGGCTGGCCAGTACAAAGACAAAGAGATGCGACATGAAGTGTTGTGTGTGATCGACAGAGAAAAGACCAGACAGATTGGATTGTAGAGTTCAGGAAGGGAAGGAATATACAATGAGGCTGGAAAGAAAGATTGTGGGAAGGTTGCCAAGGGCTTTAAAAGCTAAAGACAGAAGTTTACATTTGATTCTAGAGGTAAAATAAGACACTAAAATTTACCGAGAGTGAGAGTGACAAGGTCAGATCTGCATTTAAGAAAAAACACTTGGGCAACTGTGTGCAGAAAGCACTGGAGTGGGGACAGACGTGAGGCAGGATGACCAATTAGTTGGCCATTGCAATCGTGTGAGAGGTGATGAAGGCCTTAACTAAGGTGGTGATTGTGTGAGTAGAGAACAGGAGGTAGATGAGAAAGATGTGTAGATATGCAGAATTGAGGATAATGCTGAGGTTATGAACCTGGGGAACTGGAAGAATGCAGGTAAATTTGACAGAAACAAAAACATTTAGGGAAAAAAAAAGTAGAAGGGCCCAGGACAGAAAGTCTTTTTATTAGTCATGATTTTTCCTCTTCAAATATTCCTCAAGTTCTTTGATTTTTCCTATGCCCCATCTTCCCTTTCTACTTTGCATTTTATTTTAGATTTTCTTGGTGAGCTTTGTGATATCACCAGCTTGGGGAACTCATCATACAGAAAATCCCACCACTGATGTAGATGGGCAAAATGTTTCTAAGTTATAGTCTAAAGAATGAATGAGGTCACTGAGAGATTGACTTACTTATGCTCATGCAGTTAGCATGTCAGAATCAGGACATGAACGAAAGAAGCACAGAAAACTATAAGCACTAACCTTCTGTATCAGTAGCACTGCTGATAACAGTTGACAGTTTACTTCTCAGGCTTGTCGATGTTAAATTGTTCCTCACATCACCTTCATAACGCCCAGTGCCCAAGGATACTATACATTGGAATGGGGTATCTGGCCAAAGACACTTACACTCATGCATTGCTAAACCTGTAGGATTATTCAGAAGCAAACCTCCATCCTGAAAGTTAATAATTTAAAACAAAACATGTTGAGAAAATAAAATTTATTTACAAGTGAAATAATTAAAAAGCAAGAAAACAAAAATATCTTTTAAATATTCTGAAAAAAGATTAAGAGCAGCCTGTTAAACTATAGATGGAACCTAAAAAGTATAGTGTTTTTAAGGAAAAATTATTTAACATAATTATATCTAAGGAGAATTTCTCTGTTGGTCCCTCTTCTTTTTGAAAAGCTACAGATGCAATGGAAAGATAAGGGATGTGAAAATTTACTGGCCTGATGAGTAAGTTTCTTATTAAGCTTTCATTTCTATTTACAAAAGCCCTTTGAACTCATCTTGGAGCACTCTCAGTATTTTGCTCAAGCTACTGAAATGAAAAGAATTACTTTTAAAGGCATATTTTAATGGTTGTTTTAGATTCCATAGCAGACTAACAGAAAAGTACAGTTATCCTAACAAATAAAGCCGTTTTCCTCATAAAACTGCTTCTAAATGATTTTATTCATTGCATATTTTCAATTTATCATATCTAATGCTGCATAACAAATCACAAGTAGGCAAAGGTATTTCATTTCAAATTATTAAGCACTGAAATTTGAATGGCAAAAAGACAAAAAATCAAATATATGTTTATGGTGTATTTTTTCTTTTTTTCTTTTTGGCTGGACCTACTATTTCATTGGTCTAGAGAGCTTCCTGGTAAAGAAACTCCTTCTACCAATGGAGACTTTTTCAATTTCTTGAATGAACTCATTGCCTATATTTTTATATAAGGTGTTCATCTCAGTAGCTTGGTAATGACAGCAAAAACTCATTAATCTGAATCACACTAAATCAGTCTGTCAATAAACATTTATTAAGCACCTACTATGTGCCAAGCACTGGGAATACAGTTAAAGGAAAAACAAAACAAAACAAAAAAACCCCTCAATAGTCCTTGCTTTCAAGGTGCTCAGTCTAATAGGGGAGATATGTCAACAACTATGTATAAACAAGTAACATACAAGATAAATTGGAACTAATCAACAGACAGAAAGTACTGGAATTAAGGGAAAATTAGAAAAGGCTTCTTATAGAAAGTATGAGTTTAGCTGGGACTCGAAGGAAGTCAGGGAAGGAAGAGATGAAGAATACTTCAGGTATGGAGGATAGCCAATGAAAATGCTCAAATTTGGAAGATGAGAATGTTTTGTTCTAGGAATAGCGAGTGGATCAAGTAAGATGAAAGAAGGCTGATAAAGGCCAGGCTGTGAAAGGCTCTAGAAGCAAAACAGAGGATTTCATCTACGCTCCTGGAGGTGGTAAGGAACCACTGGAGTTGATACAGTTCTGTAACTTAGAGCTGTAGATAATTGCCTGGGGACACTGAGAAGTTAGACGACTTTCTCAGTCAAACAATCAATATGTGTCTTAATTCTGAAGCCAGATCTCAGTCCATTATACCATACCGATATGAAGTGAAAGGGAAAGGATATCATGCAATGAAAGAATGCTGTAGCACTGCTTCATTTTATTTTTGTGACCCCACTGCCCAGCATGTAAATGTTTGCAGATTGACTAATTCATAACTCAAAGATTCTTAGAGTAAATCACTCATCTAACCAAATCTTACTCCTTTTACCAATGAGGAAACCGAAGAAAAGAAGTAAAGGGGAATTTAAGGCCACATAGCTAGTAGATGGCACAGCCAGGATTCAAACCAACTCCTCTTAATTACAGAAATTAAAGAAAGGTTAGAGCAATGCGCCAAATCTAATAAGATAAAATAAACATCAAGTACTACACTTGGGTTTAAAAAAATTAACTTCATGTGATAGAAAACGGGTGGCTAGATAATGATTAATCTGAAAAAGAGCGTGAGATTTAAATGGCTCACAAACTAAATATGAATCACCAATTTGACATGAAAGCTAATAAACTACTGTGATTTTAGGCTATATTAAAAGAGAGGCATGGTACTAGGAACAGTGTCTAGGGAAGAGATCACTCAAGATTCATGTAATGAAAATAGTCCTTATATAAACTTTTAAGATCTGCTAAGCACTGTGCATTTTATCTCATATTATCCTCCAAAACCACCCTGTGAGAGTGTTATTATCCCCATTTTACAGATGAGGAGACTGAGGCAAAGAAATCCCCTTGAAATGACATCTTTCAAGTAGTCATTTAGCTTTTGCTCATAAATGGACACTTCATATCTCTCAAGGTAATCTGTTCCCCTTTAGAAAGTTCTAAATGTTGTCCCTACATCCAGATAAAATCTCTCTCTGCAACTTCTATTCATTACCTCTAATCATATCCTGTGGGGCCAGAGATAACAAGTCTAGTAATAAACATTCTCAGTTTTTTCAACTTTATATGCTATGAACCCAAGATGCTTCATCATCCTGGACATTCTTTCCCAGGCACTCTCTATCAATGTCTTTCTTAAAATGGGGCACCCAGAATTCAATGCAGTCATCCAGATGTGCTCTTACCAGGACAATATACAGCAGGATAATCATCTCCCATGTTCCAGTCACTTCCTCATTATTTAAATGAAGCTATAGTGTAATTCTTCACTTGTATCCATCCTTTTGTGAACCTGTACCCACCTTTCTATAGGACTCTACTTGGGGAATGAGGAGAAAGAACTCACATTTTCAAGAATATATGCTAAACTGTCTCAAACATCCCTATTGTTGCCTCTTTCCACCATCAATTATTTCATGTGTCTTTCCTTGTGAGCATGTAACCATTCTTCTGTTTTCTTTTCAGATATTTCCTTCTGCTTTTAAAAGCTGCCTCCTTCAAATCCTCTCATTTTATCAGATTTTCTTTTTTGTCCTGCTTCCACTATGTAGGTTGTCATCCATTACTTTCTATATAGGAGTGATTTCTTTTATATACATATATGTATATGTATATATATACATACGAACATACACATACATATACACATATATACATATATGTATTTGCTTTCTGCCTCATGTGTCACTGCTTGAAGTGTCATTTTGCTGGAAATGTTACTTTTCTGAGATCTCAATTTTAAAAAGTAGAATTCCATTAATTTAGTAAGCTTTACTTTCATGCAAGCAAGAAAGTGGCACAGCATGGGATGGCACATAGGTAAGTCAAGAATCCTGAAGGGTTTACCCAATAGGCAAGTTCAGAACATCCTTTCTTCAAAAGTGTTCCTCTTCCTTATTCCCAATCTCTGAGCTGATAATATTCCAAAATTTAAAATGAAAATATTACAAGTTATTTATTAAATGCTATTAAAGAGACAGAGGGAGGTATAACTCAACCAGAAAACCATATATTTACTGAAATCATGCTTCTTTGGTTCTATATAATGCCTTCCCCCCTCCAAAAAACCTGAACGTTTTCACTTATCTCATAACATCTAAATCATCTTTTACTAGCTAAAAAAGACCAAAAGATGATGAGTATGACATGATTAAGAGAAAGACAAACAATTTTAGTGGCTAAACATGCATCTAGATTGGAGGCCCCTTGATTTCTAATACATGTGATTAAAAGATAATGTGGCCCAGTGGGACATGCACATGACAGAGAGTAACAGAACCTGAGCTTTAGTTTCAGTTCTGTCTCTAATTAGCTATATGAAACTCAGCAAATCACTTAGAACTCACTACAGTGAAGTTTTCTCATCTCTAAAAAGTTACTTCTCCTCTGGAAAGTGGTGTAGAGGGATGAGAATAGGACTAGAAACTAGGAGAACTAGTTGTAACCCAGAAAGTAACTCATTATATGGCTTTGGGGAAGTCACTTTACCTCCACCAGTCTTAAGTCTCCTCATCTGTAAAATGGGGAGTTTGTATCAATTATCCCTTCTAGCTCCAAGATTCTGTAGTTTCATGCTTCTTCCACTGGATTATGCTTCTTTCTCAAAGTTATTCTTTTCTGCCATGCTTCTGCTTTTATACCCTTAACCAATTCTGTATTTTAACATTCAACTGTGGAACAACTTTAGCATAAAGTTAAAAGATGAAAACTGTCTAAATAGGGACAATATAAAAATCAATGAAATTTAACAATCTTGGCTAGCTGCTGACAGGTGAAACTCTAGGCAGGGTTTTAGCCATAGGGATTCTCACAACAGGTCTTATAAAGCTCTACCCCAAGGGTTTAAGCAGGGGTTCATCTCAAAGCATTCACATTTGAAGTGGATGGCAAAAAAGCTCAGATAGTTTTCTATTAATTCTTTTGAAATGAGATGAATTCGACCAAAAAAAAAAAAAAAAAGGCCTACATTATGGTACATTGGCTGGGAAAATCCATCTGTGACACCCAAGGGAAGTAACAGTATTGTTGAAAGAAGACCTTTTGATTTGTTATTCAGTTAGCTTATATGCCTTTTGGGTTTTCTATTTCCCTTCCTTTGTCTTTTCTACTTCTCATGATTTTATTATCAATTCAGAATAAATTTTTTTCATATTAGTAGCAAACCATGGCTTTTTATGCTCAAAACTAAGACAATGGGCACTGAAATAATTCCTAGTTGAAAAGTAAACTAAGTGGATCTTCAACTCTTAAATTAACAGCACCATTTTACAAAAGAGGAAAAAAAGCCCAAAGATAAAAGTTAAATATCCACTTAAAAAGAACTTCAGAACAAAACTTAAATTACATTTACTTATAAAGGAATTCAACGTTTTCTTTTTGTCTGGGGTTCTGATTTCATTGGTGTGGTGACTTTCCCAAGAGGAAATGCCCCCCTCAATGCTAATCAACAAGTCTCCTGTAACTTAGAATCGTAAAAATAATTTCAGGTAAAAACTTGCTTTCAGCAACAAACTTTAATGCATAACAAAGAGGGCACTGGATACATCTCACAGATTAAGAATCAATACTATTTAAAACTAGATAAAAATGTTTATTTTTTAAAGGCTATCTTTTTTTTTTTACCAGATTTTCTAGCTTCTAACACTGTAAAATACCAGTAATTCAGATAAATCAAAATACGCAATATGTATAAGAAATAATTTTAT